TAAAGCAGAGCACAAAGGGCACCAGGAAATGTTAGGGTTTTTTTTTTTTTTTTTTTACTATTTTTCTATTTTTTACTTGTTTAGAAATCAGAATGCAAAATACTTTATTATAATTATAATACATATAATATAATATTATATAATACTATATTATATTATAACCTGCAAACAACTGCGTAAGTAAACAGAAATTACAATGTGATAACCCAAAACTTAACATATTGTTTTCTTGTACTATAATTAAAAAAAAAAAAAAAAAATGTACACTGTATTTTCGGTTTACTTACGAAGTTCTTTCCAGGATGTATATCTTATTACCCATTTATTACCCAAAATTTAACATAATGTTCCCCTATACCTACGAAAGTACACTATAATTACAGAAACGTACACCGTAATTTCGCAAATGACTGTGTAAATAACTTATGCAGTTGTTTGCGGGTCGTAATATAAAGCGTTACCTTGTTTTCTACTTTAATATATTTTTAAAATATAATTTGTGATGCAAGCTGAATTTTCAGCAATAGTTACTTTAATCTTTAGGGTAAGATGATCCTTCAGAAATAATTTCTGTCAGGATTTCTGTCACTATTGTCAAATATGATTGACAATTAGCATACAGTTTGGATTGGTAGTATGGTTCTGTTCTGGGCAATTAACTCCCTGCACATCCATGCAGACTAGAGCCCCTTTCACACAGAGATTGCAGAAAATACACAGATAATGTGTCCCGGCATTTGTCCTGGGATTGTTTGATTTCGGTTCATTCACACTACCAGTGATTTGCCGGGATCTGTGAGTGCGTTCGCACACAACCCGAAAAGATCCTGGAAAGACACATGACGTCAGGATGAGATGTGTAACGTACGTGACTACGCGTCGAAAACATGTACACGCGCATAACTTTCCACAAAGCTGGTGAACGATCTCAGCTTCAGCACGGATAGTGAGGAGCTCCTGGTCTCTGCTTCGTTCCAGTTTGCAGACATTTGTTTGTCCTTTCTTTGTTGATGACGAACACAAACTTTCTTCTAAGAGCAACAGAGTTGTGCGACGGCACGAGCGTCATCACTATGACACACCCCCTACGAGTCACGACATTAGTCCTCGCTTTTGTTCACACAGCGAGCGTTCCGCGACTGATTCCGGCAAAGTTACTTGGTCCCCAACCCGGCATCGATGCCGGTCTCAATCACTGGTCGTGTTTGCGTTCACGCAGAAGGCATTCTGACAATTTCCCAGCAATTTCCCGGGATCAACGCGCTGTGTGAAAGGGGCTTAGCATGGATACGATAAGGGAGAGAACCAACAACCCCCCTTAGGGGTATTGCAGATATCATTAATTCAAGATTTTAAAGTACAACATAATTCGAGAATTTAGTCTCATTTAGAGAGGAATCAGATTGCCAAATGCCAGCTGATGAGAGGAGGAGCTGGGGAAGGAGGAGGGTCATTAGCTCTTGAGAAACGTGATAGCTGTTGATAATACTGAAGGAGCACAGTGATTGGTTTCGTATTCCTATAGGTAACGAGAGTCAGCTGATGCGAGCTTGACTAACGTGAATATGCTGACTGATGTTATCCTGTGTAACGTTGCCGAAGTAATGAAGTGGGAAGTGAATCCAATCGCAAGCACATTTATTAACAAAACAAAAGGTAGTCCATAGGGTAAATGATAAACAAAGAGACTCAGCAACCATAACAACATTAAGAACTCGCACCGACTGGACTAAAACACAGGGCTTAAATACAAAGTAACACCTCAGTGAAAAAAGACACAGCTGGGGCAACTCAACTAAAACAGGATACATGAACACAAATGAGGAGCGGGAAAACTGGAACAGGACTGAACCAAATACAAAATAATGGGGGAAACACAGGACAGACAGGAACAAGACATGAACCCACTCCAAGACATCAAGTTTGTAACATTATAAATGTCTTTACTGTCACTTTTGATCAATTTAATGTGTCCTCATTGATTAAAAGTATTAATTTCTTTACAGTGTCCTTGTTTTATGTTGCATATATTACAATAGCAATAACAGTAAATTATGCATAATTACATGCAACTAACCCTTAACCAAATCCTAATCCTACCCTAACCCTCTGGTAAGTACATGTAGTTGCTTAATATTACTCAGCATTTTGATATAAATAATACAATTATTTATGTATTTAAATAATATAATTACACTGCAACAATGACACCTCAAAATAAAGTGTAACCATTAAATATATAAAAAACAACAACAATAACAACAATGAATAATGGTATATTCATAAATTAACATCATTAATACATGTTGTAAAGATGTTTTTAACAATGTTAAAGACTGAAACTCATTGTAAAGTGATTTGTATGTCTAATTTTTATGCTGATTAATAAAAAGCAGTTTTCTGCTGAGCAAATGAATGGAATATAAATTCTTCAAAGCATAAAGCTGAGGTGAGAACATGTAAACAACTTTTTGTATTTGCTACCAATTCAAAGCTTGGATTACAACAGGGAGTCTCCCTTCTGGCTCAGCTCCCTTTTGTTGATCCGGATTCTTCAAAAAGCCCAAGAAACTATACAGAAAACTAAAACGCTCAGCATCTGATTTTTTTTTTTTTTTTTCCCAATGAGTTTATGAAGAAATATCTGCTGCACTTGGCATCTTATTGTCCTCTGATAAGGCTGCTTTGGAAACACGGCCCCATTCTCAAATATTTCGTTGATAAAACAAGTGATTTCTGACTGAAGTTCCATTTTCTTTCCCACACAGACCGGCTGTGAGAGGCAGGTTTCTCACCATGCAAATCAAAATCAACAATAAGAGCCTTGTACTTCTCAGAGCATATCCACATGAGCCTGACAAGCCATTAGCAGAAAGCCCATTAAGTCAATATCCTGGCGGCAAGATATGTGATGAATACAAGGTTCTAGGAATCTTGTAATGTAATCACTAAATCCCTACCTTGATAACAATGCAATAACGGTAGCATCACCACTTCTTTCACGGGATGCCATCCAATTGCTGGACAATTCTTTCATCCAGGCATGCAACTGGCAAGCCCCTGTTGCCATTCAGTCTCCCTCACAGTCCAAAAGCTGATTAAAGGTTATAATGTAAACATCAAAGAATTGCTGAACAAGCAATTATTCAGAAAAGCATGTGAGAAATGCATTACAGAAAAGCAGTGGAAATGTTGGGGGAGATGACCAACAGATGTTTCATTATCAGTTATCACACAAATAATTACTGAAGTTAAAGGGGTAGTTCACCCAAAAAAAAAAAAAAAAAATGTTCTGTCATCAATGTTCACTCACTCCCTTGTTGTTTCAAACCTGTATGAGTTTCTTTCTAACAGACGACATTTTGAAGAATGTTAGTAACCGAACAGTTGATGGGCCAAATTGACTTCCATAGTATTTCAATCTCATTTTTAAAATGCCAGGGTGCAATAATTTGATCAAAAGTGACACTAATAACTTTTATAATCTTACACAAATATCTCTATTTTAAATGTAAGTTGTTTTTAATTTTATAGTCAGAAAGATTGGTCTTAAAAGTTTTGTGGTTTCTGCCAAAATGGTAAACAGCACTGCTTTCATTGATATGGAAAATGAGAAAAAGAAGGATAAGGAAAATATTAAAAATAAAAAGGCTTTTCTTTGAGCACCAAATCAGCATTTTCTGAAGGATCGTGTGACACTGAAGACTGGATTAATGCTGAAAATTATATAGTATAATATACGTATATATATGAAGAGTTCAGATGTAAAAGCCTCCAAATGCCATTTGAAATTTTCTTCTTTAATGATGATTTTTATAAAACTTGTATATGTAAGTTCAGTAATTTCACTTAAATGGCAATGATAATTACCTATTAATTGTCATTTAAGTGAAATTACTGAACTTAAATGTACAAGTTTGATAAAAATCATCATTAAAGAAGAAAATGTCAAATGGCATTTAGAGGCTTTTGCATCTGAACTCTTCATATATATATATATATATATATATATATATATATATATTGTTAAAACGAGAGCATAAAAACATTATCGTGTCATACATGTATATTTATTAAAAGGTTGGCTACCTGCTTTCATACATTTTAGTCTATATAGCAACTACAATGTGAATATGCAACAATAACTATCACTAACTAATATAGTTCAGAATACATGTCTTACCTTAAATCTTATCTTAGTGTGGCGGGCAGTACAAAAGAGAGAGAGAACCAGAAAGAACATCGACTACGCCACCCTGGTCGCTAAGCCAGGGAAAGTGTCCTATTAAAGACACACAGGTTCGGTGTCTCCCTTATATAAAGACTCTGAGACGTGGATATAGAAAAATACAAAAAAGATTCTTTATTTAGACAAAGATAAAAATGCTGGTGTGCCAGTCAGTTAGGTTAACTAGAACCTCACACAATAACAGCTCACAGGGCTCGTGATCACCAGAAGCAGGATGGGCTAGTGCCAGACGTCGCTAGTCTTAGCGATGGTAAAGGAGCACCCACACGTGCACCACACTTCACACTCAATCACGTCAACTAAGACCAATCACTATGGATTGCAGACCACACACTGTGTCTCATCAGGAACCGTCACCAAAATTGGACAACTAGCCCTCCTGCTCCGGGCTCACCGTGCCTGAAACACAAGAAATGAAGAATTACAAAAATAAATCAAAAAAAAATTAATTCAAACAATCATACTCATGGGTACCCAATGTACAGGACACCACATACGAGACATACAATACTATGCGCAACTAGACAAGACACTCCACAATCCACTCAAACCTGCACTCATCAGTGTCAGTGATTGTGAATGGATCGCTACGGGCCCACAGGAACAGTCTCCCTAGGCCGGTTACCACTCACAATCCCTCGTTTCCTTGGAACCAGTCAGGGATAAATCACAGTGAGCAAAGAAAAATAAACATTATTCACAATCCAAACAAAACACAAAACAAGCACCCAAAAATAATAAACAAAACAATACATCAACGAAATCACAAATAATAAAACAACCCCAAGAAAAACACAGAATGTAAATTAATTAATTACCCCCACCCAACTAATACAGCCAAATCACTCAACAAAAACAAAATAAAACATTAGCAGTGCGGAGGCGTGCTCAGACGTGCGCAACTGCACTGAAGCATGTTGGTAAAGGAATGAACACAAAAAAACTAAATGAAATTGTAATGGGAACAAAACAGCAGCGACGACAAGTCCTAGAGCCGGTAAGTGTAGTCTTCAAGTGCCCTTAAAACGGCAGATCAAGTCACCTGCAAAAGCCTGACTATGAGCTAAAATATGCATAGCATTAATTTACTATTGTACAATTGCTGGCACATACCAAACATGCGGAGATCGCGCCACTCGTCCAGTCGGCAAGAGATGAACAGTCATGATAAGCTGGAATACACAAACCCCATAATAATAACTATACGCTCATTAATTAAATACAGCCGAAAGGGCCAGAGAGAGAGACCTACCAGGAAGTCAAGCAGCAATACACCCCCGATGCTGAATGCAATTCATACCCGAAACGGTCGTCTACGGCAACCAGCGCGGGTTGCCAGGCATGCAACCCTCAGCACAACGAGTGCTTTTCTGCAAACAGCCCAGAACCTGACAAGAGTAACACTCAATCTAATGTTCGTTAGGCTCGAGCCTTAAAAAAAAAAAACAGCCGTCCCACTCACCTCAGCCAGAGCACCAGACAGTCGCAAAAATAATGACGTGCTAGAACGCGGTCGCACATTCACGCAATCTCCGGTGACACCACTTTAATATACCCCTTGGAATGAATTACCTTAATCTATCAATGAATTGAGTGCTGATTACCTGCATGCATCTAGGGCGGAGTCTCAATCTAGAGAGAGAACATCAACAAACAGCGGCACTTCACTACAATCTACCCCTCCCCTTTGCATCGTCGCCCCGACGATGAACCATCCAACCATCACGTTATTCAGATCCAAGGTCTGAACACTGCAGTTACAGAATGGGACGCTGGGGATGCCACATCCAACAGAGACCTAGGGAGATGGTAAAGATTGGTGTGACGGCCGGCAGTCACTCTTCCAGTCCTCCGCTGCTGTACCTCGCCCCCCCCGGCCTCCCTACCCCATCGCATGGACCCCACCACTGAACTAGTTTCGTCCCGACTAGTCTCATCAGGGATAACCACTCGTCCCCTGGGGATGGGGTCTAAAGACCCTGCTGCCAATGGTGGGGCAATTTGCTTAGGTGAAGCTAGCTGCACACCACCAGGGCCACCAGAGAAACTTCCAGTAGACACTCTCACCAGATCCATTTCCTCTTCCTCCTCTTCCTGCAGTGACACCGGGACCAGGGGACCACCCGAATTACTGGGGAGGGCAGGACCCGAGGGCTCCCTCTGGGTCCGACTCTTAAGCAGCGAGCGGTGAACAGTTTTCACTGAATTAAGATCTTTCACTGGTGCTATAGTGTAAACCGCACCCCCCTCTCGAGGCCCTCTCACTACCTGGTAGACAACTGGGCTCCATAGATCGTGAATCTTATGGCGACCCCTTACCCCATAGTCACGGAGGTACACTAATTGTCCCTCAACCAGAGGGTCATTCTTGATATGCTGATCGTGCCTTTCCTTACGCCTCGCAGCTACCATCTGTAAACGTTGCCGTGCTCCTTCAAATGCCACTTGCAGCCTAGTTTGGTGTTCGACGACCCATTCATGCACTTTCCCTGCCACTGGTTCCTGCACCCTACCCAACAAGAAATCAACTGGCAAACGGGGTTCTTGGCCAAACATTAAAAAATGTGGAGACTCCCCGGTGGCTTGATGAGGGGTGGTATTGTAGGAAAAGAGGAGCTGTGGAAGACAAGCCACCCAGTCCCTCTTTCTGGAAACGGGCAGTGTGCGCAACAGATTGTGCAAAGTTCGATTGAAGCGCTCACACTGGCCATTACCAGCTGGGTGGTAGGGTGTGGTGCGAGACTTATCTACCTCATACAGGCTGCAAAGCTGGCGAAGCAAGAGAGATTCAAAATTTCGCCCTTGGTCAGAGTGGAGACGACTGGGCACCCCAAACTTATAGAACCACTCAGTTACCAGGGTCTGGGCCACCGTTTCCGCTCTCTGATCCCTAGTTGGCACAGCAAGGGTGTATTTGCTGAACACGTCTGTCATTACCAACACATTTTCTACTCCGGACCTAGAAGGTTCCAACAGTGTAAAGTCTATGGCCAAAATTTCGTTAGGCCTAGAGGCCAACAAATGACCCATAAAGCTTTGAGCCAAAGGATGCGAATCTTTAGCTACCTGACATCTCTCACACTCCTGGCACCACCGCTCCACATCTGATGACAAGCCAGGCCAATAACATCGCTGTCTAATCAGTTCAGTGGTACGCTCGATGCCCTGATGTCCGTGTTGTTGATGTAACTGCCTGAGGACATCAGACCTCAACACCGCGGGCAATAACAATTGACAAATCTCCTCTCCCCCACTCGGAGCCCTAACCCTGCGATAGAGTACCCCCTCCCTCTCTAACAGGCGATCCCACTGACGGAGAAGTACCACGGCTGGAGTAGACATGCGTCGTCGCTCCTCAGACCCAGGACGTGCCTTGCGTCTCCAAAAAGTCAAAATCTCAGAAATCACAGGGTCTTCTTCCTGTAACAAACTCAAATCGACAGGTGAGTAACCAGGCATTGTAGTGATCACCCGCTGTACTGCTTCAACAATTGGCTGCAGCCCCACAGCTTGCTGCAATGACACTGGTACCACCGTCCCTGGGACTAAGTCGCCTACGGCCCCTTGCTCGGGTGGATTCTGCCTGGAAAGGGCATCAGCATTCTTATTGCTCCTTCCTGATCTATACCGGATCTCGAAGTCAAAAGCCGCCAACTGGGAAGCCCAGCGCTGCTCCACCGCCCCGAGTTTTGCCGAGGTCAGATGACTGAGAGGATTATTATCCGTAAAGACCACACACTTATTACCCAACAGATATTCACGAAATTTCTCAGTCATGGCCCACTTGAGCGCAAGAAACTCCAACTTCATGGAGCTGTAATTATCCATATTACGCTCAGTGGGCCTAAGACTGCGACTCGCATATGCAATGGGACGTACCCTACCCTCGTTTTCCTGTGAGAGGACGGCTCCCAACCCTCCATGACTAGCATCCACCTCCAGGATGAAGGGCAAGGAAAAGTCAGCGTATGCAAGCACTGGGGCTGAGGTTAGTCTCTCTTTTAATTGCTCAAAGCCTGACTGGCACTGCTCATCCCAGGCGCCCTCCAAACTTAAACCGTTTCGTTTCTTAGACTTTGGTTTGTCCCGAGAACACTCAGCCACTAGCCTATGCAGGGGGGCTGCCAGCCTAGCAAACCCCTCGACAAAACGCCGGTAGTAACTGGCAAATCCAAGAAACGAGCGTAATTCGGTGACCGTGTTTGGACGACGCCACTGAGCCACAGCTTCAGTTTTACTAGGGTCGGTTGCCACACCCTGGGCGGATATAACATGGCCCAAATACCTCACCTCGGTCTTGAAAAACGCACACTTCTCCATCTTAACCTTCAGGCACTCATGTTCCAATCGGCTCAAGACCACCTCCAGCCTCTCCAAGTGCTGCTCTACAGAGGAAGAAAACACCACAATGTCATCCAAGTATAAAAGTAATGATTGGCACTGCTGGTCACCAAATAGTCGCTGCATAAGTCGCTGGAATGTGCTGGGGGCATTGCAGAGCCCAAACGGCATTCGATTCCACTCGAATAACCCGAATGGGGTGCAAAAAGCAGTCTTTGGCTTATCCCCCTCTGACATGGGAACCTGATTGTACCCGCTGGTTAAATCCAAAGTGGAGAACCAGCGGGCACCAGTCAGGGCGTCCAGTGACTCCTCAATCCGAGGCAATGGAAATGCGTCCTTCCTCGTCTTAGAATTTAGTTGACGGTAGTCCACACACATGCGCAGACTACCGTCCTTTTTCTTTACAAGCACAATTGGAGAGGCATAGGGGCTACAACTCTCCTGTACCACCTGAGCATCCAACAGCTGATTAATGTGTGCTCTTACCACTTCATACTCCGATGGGGGGATTCGCCGATACCGTTGTCGAACTGGGGTGTCATCTATAAGTGGAATATCGTGTGCAATGATATTAGTACACCCCAAATCCCCTTCAAAAGCAGAAAATACCGACTGATACTTCACCAAGAGAGCCCTAACCTTACGTTGCTCATCGCTGGACAGGAGGGACAAGTCCAACGCATCAATTTGGCCTGGAACCGTTGGAATACTCACTTGCGGGGTGATGGACCACATCCTACAGGAAATAGACTTCACTTCAGTGACGCCTGGGGGCAAACTGACCACATTCACATTCGTTAAAGTGCCTATTACTCGGCGAGGGAAAAGCAAAACATCAGCACTCCCTACATTAACCACTGGAACATAAACAGTGCCCTTAACCACTCGAACCAAAGCAGGAGAAACCAATAACCCCATAGGGAGCCCAAATTCTGGAGGTTCAAGGAGCGCAGTAACGTTAGAATAATGCTCCGAACAAGTTGCGGCTACCAGCTTAATGGTGCCACCAGGTATGCGGTATGCCCGAGGGCCGCGGGTCTTAACCGGACCCGTTTCCACAACTGGAGGACAAGCGCTGGTTTGGTGACAATATTGCAATGCCCGAACAACAGAGCCGGGAGCATTCGCTACTGGCGGAAATTCAAAAAGGGAGGGGCCATGTTGTCCCAAGAGTCCCTGGTAACACCTACCCAGTACATTCATCCCCAAAACTCCAGGGACCTTAGCACTCATGCCACCCGGAGGATCTTTGACCACTAGCACACCACATTGCGGTACTAATTTCCCGCAAAGCTCAACATCCAATTCCATATATCCTATATATGGAATGGAAAGTCCATTTGCAGCCTTAAGTTGCAACCATTGACAGGTCCGAAGGCGTTCCTGTCCCCATGGCTCAAAGTACTTTAAAAAGCAACTCTCCGTAAGAGTAGATACCATTGACCCAGTATCGATCAAACATGGTACTGGAATGCCACCCATAAGAGCATTAATATGAGGGCAAGGTGACATCAAATTTAACATGGGGTCAGGAATCTCCAACACATCTGAGCCGATGTTCCCTCCCACCGAGCTGTGGCTCTGCAACTCAGCGGGGGCTAGTTTTCCGATGGCAACGGGCCTGAATGATGCAACTCCCCCTCACTGGCCCCCGGATCGTCTCTTCTAGAAGCGGGAGCCCGACATGGAACGCGTTCCCCGTCGCACTCCCTCGCAAAATGCCCCGGTTTTTGACACCTTCTACAGATAACCGAACTGTTGCGAAAAGGACGAGTTTGACTACGAGAACGCTGAAACGGGTCCTGTAACCGAGCTAGATTTTGTGTGAGTTGAGTTAGCTGCTGTTGCTGCAATTTTAACATCTCTCTCAACTCACCCATCTCAGACCGCTGAGGAGAGTCACAACCACCCGGACGAACACCCTGTACACCGTATTGAAAACCATGTGCCGAGGGGAGAGAATGACTGCGGCCTCTTGCCCCACCCAGCATGCCCTCCTGCTCCCACCTAATAGCTTCCCTGCGAACCTCCAACAGAGTGGCACTAGGTTGACGCCGAACCAACTGTTTAAGCTCGCGGCGAAGAGCACTATCGGCCACATGCTCCACGAATTGATCACGAAGCAAGGTTTCGGTATTTGACATGACCGTAGGCGATTGCTGCTTGACTTGCTCCAAAAGGCTCATTAAAGCAAGTGAAAACTCCAACAGAGTCTCACCATCATGTTGCCTCCTGGAGAAAAAGGCCTCCTGCAAGGCAACATATGATTTAGAGCAGCCATACACTTCTTTCAAAGCCGTAATAATCTTTTCGGGATCTTCCCGCTCCCCAACAGGCCTATACTTTATCTCATCACGTGCCTCCCCCTCTAAATGGTCGAAAAGAAAGAAGGCCTTGTCGGCTGTGGAAAAATGACGGGACCGCATGCAGGCCTGTGCCTCCTCAACCCATTCGTTAATTCCTATACCAGATCTACCATTAAATTTAGGGCACCTTCGGTCCCTCGGTATAAAAACGTACCTTTCCGTAGGAATAGTACCCACATCAATAGCCTGAAGAGGAGCAATTGACGGACTAGGTACGTTGGAACCATGGCCCAGATCTGAAGGCCCTGCAAGAGCTTGATCTTGCCGCAACTTTGCATTATCAGCTCGTAATTGGGCCACGAGCTCCCTCAATTCTTGCAACTCGTCTTCCATGTCCACAAAACCCAATAGAAGGAAAACTAGTCAAGAACCCCCAAATAGAGTTACCTGTGGTCACTGTCCCCGCTGCTGTCCTGCTCCCAACACCTAAGAAAAAACAACAACAACAAATATATCCACGCCTCAGATCAAAAAAAAAAGGAAACCCTGCCGACTATACGCCAAATGTGGCGGGCAGTACAAAAGAGAGAGAGAACCAGAAAGAACATCGACTACGCCACCCTGGTCGCTAAGCCAGGGAAAGTGTCCTATTAAAGACACACAGGTTCGGTGTCTCCCTTATATAAAGACTCTGAGACGTGGATATAGAAAAATACAAAAAAGATTCTTTATTTAGACAAAGATAAAAATGCTGGTGTGCCAGTCAGTTAGGTTAACTAGAACCTCACACAATAACAGCTCACAGGGCTCGTGATCACCAGAAGCAGGATGGGCTAGTGCCAGACGTCGCTAGTCTTAGCGATGGTAAAGGAGCACCCACACGTGCACCACACTTCACACTCAATCACGTCAACTAAGACCAATCACTATGGATTGCAGACCACACACTGTGTCTCATCAGGAACCGTCACCAAAATTGGACAACTAGCCCTCCTGCTCCGGGCTCACCGTGCCTGAAACACAAGAAATGAAGAATTACAAAAATAAATCAAAAAAAAATTAATTCAAACAATCATACTCATGGGTACCCAATGTACAGGACACCACATACGAGACATACAATACTATGCGCAACTAGACAAGACACTCCACAATCCACTCAAACCTGCACTCATCAGTGTCAGTGATTGTGAATGGATCGCTACGGGCCCACAGGAACAGTCTCCCTAGGCCGGTTACCACTCACAATCCCTCGTTTCCTTGGAACCAGTCAGGGATAAATCACAGTGAGCAAAGAAAAATAAACATTATTCACAATCCAAACAAAACACAAAACAAGCACCCAAAAATAATAAACAAAACAATACATCAACGAAATCACAAATAATAAAACAACCCCAAGAAAAACACAGAATGTAAATTAATTAATTACCCCCACCCAACTAATACAGCCAAATCACTCAACAAAAACAAAATAAAACATTAGCAGTGCGGAGGCGTGCTCAGACGTGCGCAACTGCACTGAAGCATGTTGGTAAAGGAATGAACACAAAAAAACTAAATGAAATTGTAATGGGAACAAAACAGCAGCGACGACAAGTCCTAGAGCCGGTAAGTGTAGTCTTCAAGTGCCCTTAAAACGGCAGATCAAGTCACCTGCAAAAGCCTGACTATGAGCTAAAATATGCATAGCATTAATTTACTATTGTACAATTGCTGGCACATACCAAACATGCGGAGATCGCGCCACTCGTCCAGTCGGCAAGAGATGAACAGTCATGATAAGCTGGAATACACAAACCCCATAATAATAACTATACGCTCATTAATTAAATACAGCCGAAAGGGCCAGAGAGAGAGACCTACCAGGAAGTCAAGCAGCAATACACCCCCGATGCTGAATGCAATTCATACCCGAAACGGTCGTCTACGGCAACCAGCGCGGGTTGCCAGGCATGCAACCCTCAGCACAACGAGTGCTTTTCTGCAAACAGCCCAGAACCTGACAAGAGTAACACTCAATCTAATGTTCGTTAGGCTCGAGCCTTAAAAAAAAAAAACAGCCGTCCCACTCACCTCAGCCAGAGCACCAGACAGTCGCAAAAATAATGACGTGCTAGAACGCGGTCGCACATTCACGCAATCTCCGGTGACACCACTTTAATATACCCCTTGGAATGAATTACCTTAATCTATCAATGAATTGAGTGCTGATTACCTGCATGCATCTAGGGCGGAGTCTCAATCTAGAGAGAGAACATCAACAAACAGCGGCACTTCACTACAATCTACCCCTCCCCTTTGCATCGTCGCCCCGACGATGAACCATCCAACCATCACGTTATTCAGATCCAAGGTCTGAACACTGCAGTTACAGAATGGGACGCTGGGGATGCCACATCCAACAGAGACCTAGGGAGATGGTAAAGATTGGTGTGACGGCCGGCAGTCACTCTTCCAGTCCTCCGCTGCTGTACCTCGCCCCCCCCGGCCTCCCTACCCCATCGCATGGACCCCACCACTGAACTAGTTTCGTCCCGACTAGTCTCATCAGGGATAACCACTCGTCCCCTGGGGATGGGGTCTAAAGACCCTGCTGCCAATGGTGGGGCAATTTGCTTAGGTGAAGCTAGCTGCACACCACCAGGGCCACCAGAGAAACTTCCAGTAGACACTCTCACCAGATCCATTTCCTCTTCCTCCTCTTCCTGCAGTGACACCGGGACCAGGGGACCACCCGAATTACTGGGGAGGGCAGGACCCGAGGGCTCCCTCTGGGTCCGACTCTTAAGCAGCGAGCGGTGAACAGTTTTCACTGAATTAAGATCTTTCACTGGTGCTATAGTGTAAACCGCACCCCCCTCTCGAGGCCCTCTCACTACCTGGTAGACAACTGGGCTCCATAGATCGTGAATCTTATGGCGACCCCTTACCCCATAGTCACGGAGGTACACTAATTGTCCCTCAACCAGAGGGTCATTCTTGATATGCTGATCGTGCCTTTCCTTACGCCTCGCAGCTACCATCTGTAAACGTTGCCGTGCTCCTTCAAATGCCACTTGCAGCCTAGTTTGGTGTTCGACGACCCATTCATGCACTTTCCCTGCCACTGGTTCCTGCACCCTACCCAACAAGAAATCAACTGGCAAACGGGGTTCTTGGCCAAACATTAAAAAATGTGGAGACTCCCCGGTGGCTTGATGAGGGGTGGTATTGTAGGAAAAGAGGAGCTGTGGAAGACAAGCCACCCAGTCCCTCTTTCTGGAAACGGGCAGTGTGCGCAACAGATTGTGCAAAGTTCGATTGAAGCGCTCACACTGGCCATTACCAGCTGGGTGGTAGGGTGTGGTGCGAGACTTATCTACCTCATACAGGCTGCAAAGCTGGCGAAGCAAGAGAGATTCAAAATTTCGCCCTTGGTCAGAGTGGAGACGACTGGGCACCCCAAACTTATAGAACCACTCAGTTACCAGGGTCTGGGCCACCGTTTCCGCTCTCTGATCCCTAGTTGGCACAGCAAGGGTGTATTTGCTGAACACGTCTGTCATTACCAACACATTTTCTACTCCGGACCTAGAAGGTTCCAACAGTGTAAAGTCTATGGCCAAAATTTCGTTAGGCCTAGAGGCCAACAAATGACCCATAAAGCTTTGAGCCAAAGGATGCGAATCTTTAGCTACCTGACATCTCTCACACTCCTGGCACCACCGCTCCACATCTGATGACAAGCCAGGCCAATAACATCGCTGTCTAATCAGTTCAGTGGTACGCTCGATGCCCTGATGTCCGTGTTGTTGATGTAACTGCCTGAGGACATCAGACCTCAACACCGCGGGCAATAACAATTGACAAATCTCCTCTCCCCCACTCGGAGCCCTAACCCTGCGATAGAGTACCCCCTCCCTCTCTAACAGGCGATCCCACTGACGGAGAAGTACCACGGCTGGAGTAGACATGCGTCGTCGCTCCTCAGACCCAGGACGTGCCTTGCGTCTCCAAAAAGTCAAAATCTCAGAAATCACAGGGTCTTCTTCCTGTAACAAACTCAAATCGACAGGTGAGTAACCAGGCATTGTAGTGATCACCCGCTGTACTGCTTCAACAATTGGCTGCAGCCCCACAGCTTGCTGCAATGACACTGGTACCACCGTCCCTGGGACTAAGTCGCCTACGGCCCCTTGCTCGGGTGGATTCTGCCTGGAAAGGGCATCAGCATTCTTATTGCTCCTTCCTGATCTATACCGGATCTCGAAGTCAAAAGCCGCCAACTGGGAAGCCCAGCGCTGCTCCACCGCCCCGAGTTTTGCCGAGGTCAGATGACTGAGAGGATTATTATCCGTAAAGACCACACACTTATTACCCAACAGATATTCACGAAATTTCTCAGTCATGGCCCACTTGAGCGCAAGAAACTCCAACTTCATGGAGCTGTAATTATCCATATTACGCTCAGTGGGCCTAAGACTGCGACTCGCATATGCAATGGGACGTACCCTACCCTCGTTTTCCTGTGAGAGGACGGCTCCCAACCCTCCATGACTAGCATCCACCTCCAGGATGAAGGGCAAGGAAAAGTCAGCGTATGCAAGCACTGGGGCTGAGGTTAGTCTCTCTTTTAATTGCTCAAAGCCTGACTGGCACTGCTCATCCCAGGCGCCCTCCAAACTTAAACCGTTTCGTTTCTTAGACTTTGGTTTGTCCCGAGAACACTCAGCCACTAGCCTATGCAGGGGGGCTGCCAGCCTAGCAAACCCCTCGACAAAACGCCGGTAGTAACTGGCAAATCCAAGAAACGAGCGTAATTCGGTGACCGTGTTTGGACGACGCCACTGAGCCACAGCTTCAGTTTTACTAGGGTCGGTTGCCACACCCTGGGCGGATATAACATGGCCCAAATACCTCACCTCGGTCTTGAAAAACGCACACTTCTCCATCTTAACCTTCAGGCACTCATGTTCCAATCGGCTCAAGACCACCTCCAGCCTCTCCAAGTGCTGCTCTACAGAGGAAGAAAACACCACAATGTCATCCAAGTATAAAAGTAATGATTGGCACTGCTGGTCACCAAATAGTCGCTGCATAAGTCGCTGGAATGTGCTGGGGGCATTGCAGAGCCCAAACGGCATTCGATTCCACTCGAATAACCCGAATGGGGTGCAAAAAGCAGTCTTTGGCTTATCCCCCTCTGACATGGGAACCTGATTGTACCCGCTGGTTAAATCCAAAGTGGAGAACCAGCGGGCACCAGTCAGGGCGTCCAGTGACTCCTCAATCCGAGGCAATGGAAATGCGTCCTTCCTCGTCTTAGAATTTAGTTGACGGTAGTCCACACACATGCGCAGACTACCGTCCTTTTTCTTTACAAGCACAATTGGAGAGGCATAGGGGCTACAACTCTCCCGTACCACCTGAGCATCCAACAGCTGATTAATGTGTGCTCTTACCACTTCATACTCCGATGGGGGGATTCGCCGATACCGTTGTCGAACTGGGGTGTCATCTATAAGTGGAATATCGTGTGCAATGATATTAGTACACCCCAAATCCCCTTCAAAAGCAGAAAATACCGACTGATACTTCACCAAGAGAGCCCTAACCTTACGTTGCTCATCGCTGGACAGGAGGGACAAGTCCAACGCATCAATTTGGCCTGGAACCGTTGGAATACTCACTTGCGGGGTGATGGACCACATCCTACAGGAAATAGACTTCACTTCAGTGACGCCTGGGGGCAAACTGACCACATTCACATTCGTTAAAGTGCCTATTACTCGGCGAGGGAAAAGCAAAACATCAGCACTCCCTACATTAACCACTGGAACATAAACAGTGCCCTTAACCACTCGAACCAAAGCAGGAGAAACCAATAACCCCATAGGGAGCCCAAATTCTGGAGGTTCAAGGAGCGCAGTAACGTTAGAATAATGCTCCGAACAAGTTGCGGCTACCAGCTTAATGGTGCCACCAGGTATGCGGTATGCCCGAGGGCCGCGGGTCTTAACCGGACCCGTTTCCACAACTGGAGGACAAGCGCTGGTTTGGTGACAATATTGCAATGCCCGAACAACAGAGCCGGGAGCATTCGCTACTGGCGGAAATTCAAAAAGGGAGGGGCCATGTTGTCCCAAGAGTCCCTGGTAACACCTACCCAGTACATTCATCCCCAAAACTCCAGGGACCTTAGCACTCATGCCACCCGGAGGATCTTTGACCACTAGCACACCACATTGCGGTACTAATTTCCCGCAAAGCTCAACATCCAATTCCATATATCCTATATATGGAATGGAAAGTCCATTTGCAGCCTTAAGTTGCAACCATTGACAGGTCCGAAGGCGTTCCTGTCCCCATGGCTCAAAGTACTTTAAAAAGCAACTCTCCGTAAGAGTAGATACCATTGACCCAGTATCGATCAAACATGGTACTGGAATGCCACCCATAAGAGCATTAATATGAGGGCAAGGTGACATCAAATTTAACATGGGGTCAGGAATCTCCAACACATCTGAGCCGATGTTCCCTCCCACCGAGCTGTGGCTCTGCAACTCAGCGGGGGCTAGTTTTCCGATGGCAACGGGCCTGAATGATGCAACTCCCCCTCACTGGCCCCCGGATCGTCTCTTCTAGAAGCGGGAGCCCGACATGGAACGCGTTCCCCGTCGCACTCCCTCGCAAAATGCCCCGGTTTTTGACACCTTCTACAGATAACCGAACTGTTGCGAAAAGGACGAGTTTGACTACGAGAACGCTGAAACGGGTCCTGTAACCGAGCTAGATTTTGTGTGAGTTGAGTTAGCTGCTGTTGCTGCAATTTTAACATCTCTCTCAACTCACCCATCTCAGACCGCTGAGGAGAGTCACAACCACCCGGACGAACACCCTGTACACCGTATTGAAAACCATGTGCCGAGGGGAGAGAATGACTGCGGCCTCTTGCCCCACCCAGCATGCCCTCCTGCTCCCACCTAATAGCTTCCCTGCGAACCTCCAACAGAGTGGCACTAGGTTGACGCCGAACCAACTGTTTAAGCTCGCGGCGAAGAGCACTATCGGCCACATGCTCCACGAATTGATCACGAAGCAAGGTTTCGGTATTTGACATGACCGTAGGCGATTGCTGCTTGACTTGCTCCAAAAGGCTCATTAAAGCAAGTGAAAACTCCAACAGAGTCTCACCATCATGTTGCCTCCTGGAGAAAAAGGCCTCCTGCAAGGCAACATATGATTTAGAGCAGCCATACACTTCTTTCAAAGCCGTAATAATCTTTTCGGGATCTTCCCGCTCCCCAACAGGCCTATACTTTATCTCATCACGTGCCTCCCCCTCTAAATGGTCGAAAAGAAAGAAGGCCTTGTCGGCTGTGGAAAAATGACGGGACCGCATGCAGGCCTGTGCCTCCTCAACCCATTCGTTAATTCCTATACCAGATCTACCATTAAATTTAGGGCACCTTCGGTCCCTCGGTATAAAAACGTACCTTTCCGTAGGAATAGTACCCACATCAATAGCCTGAAGAGGAGCAATTGACGGACTAGGTACGTTGGAACCATGGCCCAGATCTGAAGGCCCTGCAAGAGCTTGATCTTGCCGCAACTTTGCATTATCAGCTCGTAATTGGGCCACGAGCTCCCTCAATTCTTGCAACTCGTCTTCCATGTCCACAAAACCCAATAGAAGGAAAACTAGTCAAGAACCCCCAAATAGAGTTACCTGTGGTCACTGTCCCCGCTGCTGTCCTGCTCCCAACACCTAAGAAAAAACAACAACAACAAATATATCCACGCCTCAGATCAAAAAAAAAAGGAAACCCTGCCGACTATACGCCAAATGTGGCGGGCAGTACAAAAGAGAGAGAGAACCAGAAAGAACATCGACTACGCCACCCTGGTCGCTAAGCCAGGGAAAGTGTCCTATTAAAGACACACAGGTTCGGTGTCTCCCTTATATAAAGACTCTGAGACGTGGATATAGAAAAATACAAAAAAGATTCTTTATTTAGACAAAGATAAAAATGCTGGTGTGCCAGTCAGTTAGGTTAACTAGAACCTCACACAATAACAGCTCACAGGGCTCGTGATCACCAGAAGCAGGATGGGCTAGTGCCAGACGTCGCTAGTCTTAGCGATGGTAAAGGAGCACCCACACGTGCACCACACTTCACACTCAATCACGTCAACTAAGACCAATCACTATGGATTGCAGACCACACACTGTGTCTCATCAGGAACCGTCACCAAAATTGGACAACTAGCCCTCCTGCTCCGGGCTCACCGTGCCTGAAACACAAGAAATGAAGAATTACAAAAATAAATCAAAAAAAAATTAATTCAAACAATCATACTCATGGGTACCCAATGTACAGGACACCACATACGAGACATACAATACTATGCGCAACTAGACAAGACACTCCACAATCCACTCAAACCTGCACTCATCAGTGTCAGTGATTGTGAATGGATCGCTACGGGCCCACAGGAACAGTCTCCCTAGGCCGGTTACCACTCACAATCCCTCGTTTCCTTGGAACCAGTCAGGGATAAATCACAGTGAGCAAAGAAAAATAAACATTATTCACAATCCAAACAAAACACAAAACAAGCACCCAAAAATAATAAACAAAACAATACATCAACGAAATCACAAATAATAAAACAACCCCAAGAAAAACACAGAATGTAAATTAATTAATTACCCCCACCCAACTAATACAGCCAAATCACTCAACAAAAACAAAATAAAACATTAGCAGTGCGGAGGCGTGCTCAGACGTGCGCAACTGCACTGAAGCATGTTGGTAAAGGAATGAACACAAAAAAACTAAATGAAATTGTAATGGGAACAAAACAGCAGCGACGACAAGTCCTAGAGCCGGTAAGTGTAGTCTTCAAGTGCCCTTAAAACGGCAGATCAAGTCACCTGCAAAAGCCTGACTATGAGCTAAAATATGCATAGCATTAATTTACTATTGTACAATTGCTGGCACATACCAAACATGCGGAGATCGCGCCACTCGTCCAGTCGGCAAGAGATGAACAGTCATGATAAGCTGGAATACACAAACCCCATAATAATAACTATACGCTCATTAATTAAATACAGCCGAAAGGGCCAGAGAGAGAGACCTACCAGGAAGTCAAGCAGCAATACACCCCCGATGCTGAATGCAATTCATACCCGAAACGGTCGTCTACGGCAACCAGCGCGGGTTGCCAGGCATGCAACCCTCAGCACAACGAGTGCTTTTCTGCAAACAGCCCAGAACCTGACAAGAGTAACACTCAATCTAATGTTCGTTAGGCTCGAGCCTTAAAAAAAAAAAACAGCCGTCCCACTCACCTCAGCCAGAGCACCAGACAGTCGCAAAAATAATGACGTGCTAGAACGCGGTCGCACATTCACGCAATCTCCGGTGACACCACTTTAATATACCCCTTGGAATGAATTACCTTAATCTATCAATGAATTGAGTGCTGATTACCTGCATGCATCTAGGGCGGAGTCTCAATCTAGAGAGAGAACATCAACAAACAGCGGCACTTCACTACATTAGCTTAGCTTATCTTAGCTCTCCAATGTCTTCCAAACTCTATGAAAACCAGAGGAATAATGAAGTTTTCTTGTAATAATGAAGTTTTGAAGTAATGAGGACTTTTATAGGTTTTCTCCTTCACATGGGCGATTTGCATGTTGAACTTTTCTGCGCGTGTGTGGGTGCGGTCACATTAGAGCTAATGAGCAAGCGCTTGACAAACTGGACATCTTGTTGGTTTCATACAAATGATTTAAACAGACAATATTTGTTTTTGTTTTGAATTATATCATTTAAAAGTACACACTTAATGTTAATAAAGATATTTTGCTCATGTATGTGTGACAAGTATTTGTGAGTTTTGTTTCAGTTTAGAGACATGCTCCAGAAAAAAAAAGTTCACGTAGAGGCAAAAAGCACACCGTTTAGTTTCTTTATTTTACAAAATACAATGTTTTGTTTTAATTGAATGTGGACACATACAAAAGTAGACTACTTAAAGATTCTTTGTTTCTTATTTCTGTTTTTCTGTATGACTATAAATGTTAGTAATTTAAGCCTATTGTGCTACTATGTGAAGAAAATGCATCGGCACATTTGTCGACTTCTAATGCCTTGTTCACACTACATGATTTTAAAACATCGGGCTGAACTGTGCGGTTCACACTACATGACTTGCTCTCAGTGAAATCAGGAGTGTTAAAGTTGTTGAGCTGTTCACACCACACAACACAACGTGATTGTTCCACAACAGGAGGTAACTCACAACACGAGTGGTAACACTTTATTTTTTACGACCCGCAAACAACTGGGTAAGTACACAGAAATTACGGTGTACATTTCTGTAATTATATTGTACTTCCGTGTAAGTATAAGGGAACAATATGTTAAGTTTGGGGTAATAAAGGGGTAACAAGCAGATATACAACCTGCAAATAACTTCGTAAGTACACTGAAACTACGATGTACGTTTCTGTAATTATAATGTACTTCCGTGTAGGTATAAGGGAACAATATGTTAAGTTTGAGGTAATAAGGGGGTAACAAGCAGATGTACAAGCAAATTATTTAATTAGTTAAAAAATAACAGGTACCTATTTTAATATTTTCCAGGCAAAAATTTATCACATTTCTGGCTAAATATGTTCTTGTGCAATGTTACAGGGTAATTTTGACATCTGTGGGTTGAAAATTAAACATTTATATATATATATATATATATATATATATATATATATATATATATATATATATATGTTTAATTTATTGGCTTTTCTTTCAAGATTACTTAATGTTAAATCAAAATATTTATTTTCTGTTATGATTTTAATTTAGACTGTACCTTGTGGTAATGAGTACTTACCTTATTCCATTGAATTGCAATGACACTTAAATGTCAGGGCAAATATACTGTGTAATTAAAACTTTTGTTGTTGTTGTTTTATTTTCTTGATAACAGTACTGTAATTACAGTGCAAATAGTGTTGTTTTGTATTGCTACATAGTACGTAGCGTTACCCTCTCGTTCTGTGTAGTTACAGGGTAAGTGTAACCATTGTGGGCTGTAAATTAAAGTGGTGTTTGTTACCCCCTTGTTCTGTGTAGTTACAGGGTAAATGTAACTCCTGCGGGCTGTAAATTAAAGTGGTGCTTGTTACCCCCTTTTTACCCCAAACTTACATATTGTTCCCTTATACCTACACAGAAGTACACTATATTCACAGAAACGTACATCGTAATGTCAGTGTACTTACGAAGTTATTTGCAGGTTGTATATCTGCTTGTTACCCCTTTATTACCCCAAACTTAACATATTGTTCCCTTATACTTACTTGGAAGTACAATATAATTACAGAAACGTACACCGTAATTATTGTGTACTTACCCAGTTGTTTGCGGGTCGTAAAATAAAGTGTTACCACACGAGTTGACAACGCACTACATAGAGATACAACCATGATCGAATGATAAGAG